GCACGAGACCACTCTAAGATGACTAAGCTTATCGAGTCCAGGGTCCATCCATCTTGCCACACATGCTCCCCTATTCCCTCCTCTTACTATTGAGCGTTCACCCCTAGGTAATCCCCCTTCTATTGCTTGTATTGCCTATGTTACTACCCCTCCCTATGACTTAGGTTGTTGTCTGCTATCAGGGGGTTTGCATGCCTCCCAGAATAGTAGTTGTCTGTTTTATTGTATGAGACACCAGAGTGATCAAACCCGCCCAAGGATGAATTGTATTGCCCCTTTCTGTGATGTAGGATTCTGTAATCAGATCCCCCTAAAGTGATATGATGCATGGTTAGCAATAAATTAGGAGGCTCCCCGGTTCTCGGGAGGGCGACAGGGTAGCTGCTCCCGCGAGGGAGGTGGCTTCTGCTCTGGTGGCCAGGTTCCCCACACGAGGACCACCAAGCAGGGTGGAGGTGAACAATGCTATCATGTAATGTGTCTGACTGTATTATTGTAATATCTCTCATGCTCTCGATGACTTTAATATAATACTTATATATCTCAACCGTACAATTGTGCTTACTGAATCCATGAGGAGTAGTAGCAGTGGGTGGGGGCTGGCCCCTTCACCCCCTAGTCATTTAATTTAATACTACAAATATCACACACAAGTCAAATTCTAAAGACAATCCAAAACACAGTTGCAGCAAAGCACCAACAGGAACTTACCAGAAAGTCCAGTTAGATTCAATAAAGGACATGAGATAAGGAATATCATTGATATTATCAGGTGGTTTCGCCCAAAGAAGAAAACAGAAAGATGTTTCCCTGTATTTAATTGACCACACAAAGTAATTATACTGTGCAGATCATAACAAATTATGGATTAACATTGCAACAAATGGGAATTCCAAAACAATTGTGTTTGTGCAGAACTTGTACATAGACCAAGAGGCAGTCATTTAAACAGAACAAGAGTATACTGCATTGTTGAAAACCAGGAGAAACATGTGCATCAGGATCGTATCCTTTCAATGTATTTGTTCAATCTGTGGCATCAGGACTAGAGAAAGGCTCATCAATAATCTGCAATATGCTGATGTTAGCAAGATAAGTTACCGAAAGCGAAACAGGAATTGAAGCACTGTCAAAGACTACAGCCTTCAGTGTGAGTCATAACATAAAGAAAACAAAACTCCTAGCTGGGCCAATAAGGAACATCGTAATAAATGGAGAAAAGACTGAAGTTGTCAAGGGTTTCATTTTACAAAGATCTGCAAGCAACACCCATGGAAGAAGCAGCAGTCAAGAAATAAAATTACATGTTTCATTTAGTAAATCTGCTGCAAGAGACCAGTTTAATGTGTTAAAGAGCCAAGATGTTATTCTGAGGACTAAGGTGTGCCTGACCCAAGCCATGGTACTTCCGATCATCTCATATTCATGCAACAGCTGAACAATGGATAAGGGAGAGCCGAAGAGAAGCAGTGCCTCTGAACAATGGTCTTGGCCAAGAGTACTGGCTATCCCATGGATGGCCCGAAGAATGAACAACTCCATCTCGGAGGAAGGACAGCCAGATGCTCCTTAGACGCGAGAATGAGATTTCATTTCACATACCTGGGAGATGGTATCAGAAGGATCCAACCAGTCCTTGGAGAGAGACCTCGTGCTTGGTCAGTGGAAAAGAAGAAGAAAAAGACCCTCAACAGTGGACCGACACACTGGTTTCAACACTGGGCTCAAAGATTAGAACAATGTTGAGATGGCCCGAGACCATGCTGTGTGGTGTTCTGTTGTACACAGGACCGCCTTTAACCATGTATTTCTAGCACATACTCTAGGGCAGCGGTTCTCAACCTATGGGTCAAGACCCCTTTGGGGGTCGAACAACCCTTTCACAGGCGTCACTGATTTAGAACAGTAGCAAAATTATAGTTATGAAGTAGCAACGAAAATAATTTTATGGTTGGGGGGGTCACCACAACATGAGGAACTGTATTAAAGGGTCATGGCATTAGGAAGGTTAAGAACCACTGCTCCAGAAGAAATCTCTCTTGTGGGTTCAGTGCATCTTCCTTCCTTAGCATATTTAGTCCAACTCCCCAAATATGCTTCAATTGACTCAATAAAATAAACACACATAGGAGTTCATACAAAGAAAGCTCACCTTTCTAACGTACCACCAAGTCATCGAAAAGCACCAAAGTTAGAAGACTATAAGCTAGAACCCTCCCCATGGTTATGAGAATAAAATTGAAGTAATGGGCCTGAAAAAAATTAAACTTTATACAAAAGTCACACATTCTTACTTAAGTATAGGACATTGAACGTCCCACTCTCGTAGCTTGTCTGAAAAGTTTAACTGTAGCCAGGTGAAGGAAAATAGGAAGATGAATATTGTTCGGTCACATGCACATATTAACATTAGCTCCACATAAAGGAACTGCATTACAACCAAGGTGCTCAATTAAGCCACCCCATACGAAAACATGAACTACGTAAACACATGCGGAGTCAAAGAGTACACAGCATGCGCTAAGCCGGTGGGCAGGCTGGGAAGCACACTGCTTTGTACAAACTGGGACAACTTATCAGTTCAGCATACAGTACCTCTCAAGCAGTTCTGAGCATCATGAGCAAGCACCCATCCTGAAGGACACACACAGGAGTGAAAACTTGGCCCCTGAGAGGAAAGCAGGCACAGGTGGCTGCAGAAGGCAATGGAACATGGATTTGCACCTGTAACAGAAGAGAAGAATGTATTGGTGAGTGAAAAAGAGCAAAGCCATGCTGTTGTGATCCTCCCCAAATATTTGGAAACACGAGTACTCTGTTTTCTTCCCTGAGCTACCTTACCCTTTCCTAGCCTCATGCTTTCAACCTAAAACTCCTAAGAGGGAGGAATCACTTGCCCAAGGTCACAGGTCAATTCAGTCTATAACTGGATTATAAACAAACAACCACTGAGTAATGGAAACGTGTCTCCTTGCCTGACCTATAAGAGACCAATTTCTTTTTGCCTTAAAATGAAATGAAGTTGTGAGCTTGCTAAGTGACCTTGGCACTTACCTACTCTTGTCCCCCACCATTTGGTTAGACAATGCTCTTTTACTCTCCACTGATGACGTTTTGTGTCTCTGCTCCTTGAAAAGGGGACTCTGTGTGCATCCTAGACGAGCCCTGGTGGGGTAGTGAGTTACGAACTGGGCTGCTAACCACAAGGTCCCCAGTGGGAAACCACCGGTCACTTCGAGGGACAAGGAGTAGATTTCCACTTCCATAAAGCTGTACAGTCTTGGAAACCCACAAGGGTAGTTCTACCCTGTCTCTGTGGCAGTTGTGAGCCAGACTTGACAGCAGTGAGTTTCAGTGTGATTCTGAGTGTGCATCCCAGGCTCACAGGATGCGCTCAAGGTCCTCTGTTTCTCAGTATGTTACCGTATTAAATTCTCTCATTCACTCACGAAACAAAAGCTAGGCATTCACGGTGTACCAGACACCATTCTAAGTACTAGGGACACCGTGAACAGGAAACACATTGGAAGGAGGGCAGGAGTGAGGGAGCACATGCGAAATTCAGAATGTGATGGTGATAAAAAGCAAAAAAAGTTAGGAAAGGTTAGGGAAATTATTTAAGATATGGGGGGTCTATGAAGAACTCTTTAACAAAGTGGTATTTGAGCCGAATCCCAAGTGGTTTGAAAGAGAAGCTCATGCAGAAATCTGGAGGAGGAATGTTCCAGACAGTGGGAAGACCTGGTGCAAATGTTCAGAGGGGGGAGGTATACTAGTTTCTAAAACACATTCATTATGGTCAAAAGGTAGCAGGGGTCAGATTCTGGAGTGTAATGAGAATCCACTGGAAAATGTTAAGGAAAAAAGATTGCGTCAAATTGCAATGATTTGTTCCTTTCCCCCTTAATAAAGACACAACGAAGGCTAAATTTTTTAATTGCCTAGCCACTACACCCCCTAGGAAGACTCAGAAAGGCCATGGCAGGTCACCGATTGGTGCCATAATATCTAACCTGGATCAGATCAGAGGACCTAGGGGAGTAGCTGGGCTATATTTTTATACATCCGCTGAGGACACAGCGTCAGAGAAAGCTCCCAGAGGTAACTGATGAACAGAATGACTCTGAAATGTTCTTGCAGGTAAGGTTTGAGTTTTCCATGGTAAATAACAGTAATGGGGGCGAGGTGCTGTGGGGCCTTTAGTAACGAAGAAAGGAAAATCTATTACACAGACAAAAAAAGGTGACACCTGAACCGTGTGTTTAGCATCCCCAGAATAAGTACTCTGCAAGCTACTGCCAGGCTCAAGACGTCCTTCTGTCCCACTTACTCGGTGGTTGTTTCACGGGATGCACCGCAGCAATCCCAAAGGCCTGGGGCACGTTATAGATGATGACGGACTGGTTTCCCCCATGCCACTTGTTGGCTTTGATAACCCGCTGAGTGCTGCGGTCCGTCCAGTACATGGAATCTTCAAAGAGAGTTATCCCATGGGGGTGCCGAAGAATCTGGGAGGCAGAACAGAGGGGTGAGCCCTCACCTAGAGTTGACCGCCCAGATGAAGGGAGGAGAAGAGGTGTTCTTGCATAGTGGATGACTTAATAAAAGAATGGAGACAAGAGGGCCATCAAAGACGACCCTTACCTTATGTCATACTAATTTAAAGTGCTTACACCTACACGTTCATCTTCGCTTTTACTCTGGTATTTACACTGAACCTTCATTTTTCAAATGAAAGCATTACAAAGCGACTATTTGTAGGTTCGGTTCCTCCTCTCTACACACGTTATCACCGTGCTTTGCCCAGTCGCACAGCTGGCACCTTCTTCTACCACTCACAGAACTGCATCGATCTGACACCGCCGAAACCCTAAGATAAGGCTGCCCACCAGGGCCTCTTCCAATCTCATGGATTATAAACAATGGCAATCTTAAATAAAAGTCATAACAACTCTTTGGTAGAATAAATATCTATTGTGTTAGCCCATCTAACTGGTGGAGTTAGAATCAACAAAATTTATTCAATAAAAATATGAAATATATGCTGGGCTGTGGTTTAACTAAGAAATTTAAATGGAATGGAATGATGCATGTTTGGTCAACATGATTTTTAAAGCTTTAAAAGTGACTGATCATTCACATTTACAAACCAACCACGCACACACACACACACACAGAACAATGCACAATGACCTATGACCATAACCTATTATCGATGTTAGTAATAAAAGATGAATTGCCCCTCATTAAACTAGCCAGTAGGTCATGCAAATAACCATTTCTTCATTTTCTTGCTACTCCATTTGCTTTCTAACAAACCACTGTTGTAATTTCGTTTTTCTCTCTGTCAACTTACCAAATCACTGGCTATCACCTGATGCCGATGATTCCCATTGTAATCACAAAAGTCGATGTAATCCAGATAGGCATCCACGAAATAGATCAGTCTGTTGGGATAGTCAATGGCTAAGCCGTTGGGCCAGAAGAGCTTGTTCTGGACGATGACTGTGCGCATACTGCCATCCATGCTGGCTCGCTCAATACGCGGGTGTTGGCCCCAGTCAGACCAGAACAGCAGATGGTCACTGTGAAGAGACATGAGTCAACCATTGCAGAAGACATCTTCCAATATGAAAAATACCTCACTCTAAGTAAGACAGGATCATATTTCTGCCCTGATTAAAATAAATCATCTCCAGGTCAGAAGATCTGTAATGTGTTTATTATTTCCTGAGTGTCACAAACTAAAGCTATAATCATAGTGCCATCACTAGCCATCACAGTGTTTTCCTAATGCTCATAAAACATGTAGCACATCAGATCCAACGCCGATTCCTGTTTGTGTACACTCTAGAAATAGCTGATTTAGAAAAGGCCACCTGTGCTTGTTTGCCCATCTTGCTCTGTTTAGGATGAAGCAGTCAGTGTACTCATCAGTAGCGCTTCATCAAAATACACTATCCAGCCTCACACTGAACACTGGTAGACTCCGACTGATGGCACTTGGAGTGATGGATGGTAGCCACATTTATATACATGCAGGGGTTTGTTGTTGTTGTTGTCTTGGGGGAGAGTATGTATTATTGTTAGTAATATGGACTATATACGATATTGCAGCATGTTATTATCATTCGTGTGCCAGCCCACAAAGATAAATAAACATGGGATTTATACAGATAATAAAAGGCAACAATGAAAACTAAAAAAAAAATAGATGAGGTAGTCATCTTATATCAGAATCAACTAATTACAAAGTCATCCACACTGAGCCCCATAGTATGTCAGGTACGACCTGTCATAGCTAACCTAATGTCCGGGTCTATAGAATAGAATCTAAGGCAGGGATCCTCAAACTACAGCCCACGGGCCACATGCGGCCCACCAAGGACATTTATCTGGCCCGCCGGGTGTTTTTCCCCCTTTTGCTTTTTTACTTCAAAATAAGTTATGTGCAGTGTGCATAGGAACTTGTTCATAGTGGGGTTTTTTTTATTATAGTCCGGCCCTCCAACGGGTCTGAGGGACAGTGAACTGGCTCCCTGTTTAAAAAGTTTGAGGACTCCTGATCTAAGTGATATAGCCTATATAAATTCAAAGAAGGAGAGCCTCAAAGGTTTCTAAGTATGTGGAGAATTCCCTTCCTTTCTTTTAGGAACAGCAGGCAAAACCTTTTCTTCCTAATACAAATTTCAAGGACATTCTAAACAACATAAAAAAGAAGGCAGAAAATTAAGGCTTTCTTGTTGTAGTTCCACATACCAAAGCTAAAGCAAACCGATCCACCTGTGGACTACGCTAAAAGCTTTCATTAGAATCATTTCAACAATTCTATTGCTCAGCTGATAAACCAATGTGATCTTAAGATAAAGCATTCAGCCAGTTGTTCTGATTTACTTTATGAAGGGGAGATAAAGGAAGGAGGGCAAAAGTCGATTGGCTGCTTACCCTTTCTACAGATATTTTTAAACAGGCCTATTTTAAAGTTGATCAGCTACTTCATGTTATTGTTGTTCTCTCTCCATTAAACCATGTCAAAGAAACTAAAAAAAGAAGGCTTACTTCGGTCTGGGGTCTAATGCTAGTCCTCTTGGATTCGTTATGTTTTCACTGAGCAGGACAGCCCGGTGGCTCCCATCCATTTTGGACACTTCAATGGTTTCCAGCGCGTAGTCTGCCCAGTACATATTGCGACCCACCCAATCGATGGCAATGCTTTCAACCATGGTGATCCCACTGTCAAGCACCTGGAGACAAAAGGACAAAAGGGAATCAACATGGACATTAAAGGAAAGTCTAGAATCAGGCATCTCACTTGTCCTAAAACTGTGTAGGAGCACATTGAAGTCTGTCTTTCCCTGGTAGCTAACAAACCATGCTATCAACAGTAGTATCTTATAGAATCAAATAAGTGTACTACTTCTTTTTGTTTTCAAAATTAAGTTTCTGAAGATAAACAAAAGCTATATCCATTTGCTAAATTGACAGTTCTATAAAACATTATATTGTTGGCATGTAAAGAGTCATAACTCGTAAGTAGAAAATGCAATGCCTTGAAACTCTATTGATTAAATACCAACATAATCAACAAGGGTTCAAAAAGAAAGCTCTAGGACATGAATTGAAAAGCACAGTGAAGTTAATACTGCTCTATCGTTCATTTAAGTGCCAGAACTAAATTAGCATTGATTCAGTTTTGTTTTAATGTTCAATTAATGCCAATTTAGCTCCCCTGCACTTTCCTCTGCTCTCACCCCCTAGAACAGTTGGCAGAAAGGACCTCAGGTGCACTGTGCAGGTTCCACATCATGTTGCCTAGAATTCCGAATTGTGGGTTTTGAGCAACCACACTCCTACCGAAAACACCCACAGACTTGGAGCTCTGAACATCCAGACTTCTTGGAAAGGAGATTCAGAAGAACTATGACGGCTAGCCAGAAAACAGGGCCTCTCTTATGGTGAACAACAGTGAAATACACATAACGGAGCCCTGACTGAGCCACCAGGGCTTAGTGGTTACATGTTGGGCTGATCACCGCAAGGTGAACAGTTCAAAACTACCAGTTGCTCCACAAAGAGAAAGATGAGGCTTTCTACGCCCATGTTCCCAAAGTTAGTCTCAGAAATCTACAGGGGAGTTCTACCCTGTTGTGTAAGGTCACTAGGACTCAGAATGGACTGGATGGCAGCGAGTGTGAGTGGCACAGGGGAGCCTGGTGGTACTGTTGGTAAGTGCTGGGCTGCTAACCTCAAATCCACAAGCCACTGTGGGAAAACAGTGAGGCTCCCAGCTCCCAGAAAGGACCCTAGGAAGGGTCGCAATCAGTCAGCATGGACTCAATGGCAGGTTGCAGATGAATACAGGGTAGAATAAAGCATAGAGACCCCAGACAAGGGAACGATGTACTCACTACTTTCTGGTCTGTTCCATTTTGAAATGCACTCCATATTTTATCATGAGAATTATCAGCCCAAAAGATACGCCCGCTGATTGAATCAAAATCAAGGGCTACGATGCGAGACCCGTTTCTGACCAGTGAGTAGATACTGTGGGTTTGACCAGTGATATTGTCAGCCACGATGTGGCTCCGGCTGGTCACCAGCAGCAGCAGACTGTCAGATGCTGTTGAAGAAAAAGCAAACGTGGCCGTGGTTTTTGGATGAAAAATGATTCTGATATATTTGTTACAATACTTTTCCATAACAAAAAACGATAGAATAAAAGGGTCATAGGAAGGGGGGGCAGCAATTTCAGCTCCTATGAGAGTGTTTTTAGTAAGCTTCTTCCCCTTAATAAGAAGTCCTCAATGTGGAACTATGTGAGGACCAGTGTGAAGTATCCATGTACTAGAACGCATTATTTTACTATAGTCCTTTGTGTACCTTGCTTATCTCTCTCACTAGAGGATAGGCTTCTCCTCTTCAGCTTAGTACCAGGACAGGCCACCCTTTAGCTGGGCACAGGCCTATCTAGCTAATGGCACTTCTCTTTGGTGTTAGAACTTGGAGTCATTACATGCCTAAGTTCTGATCAATGAGATGCGAGCAGAAATGACGCATCGAACAATGTCTCCTGGCCTTTCGCTTTCTCTTTCCCCTTCCCACTTTCTGAGAGAAGGAAAGCCTACAGACTTCTCTAGAAGGAACCACAGACGAGGAAAGAGACGTGCTCCGCTCTGCGCTTCCACTCAAACTCCTCCTCGAAAACGCTATGAAACCTTTGCCCTCCTGGA